GCACCCCCATCTCCTACCTACTAACCTCATCCCGCCCCCTTGACCTGTCCATCCTCCCTGGACTGACCTATCCCCTCCCTAACTCCCCACCTACACTCACCTTTACTGGCTCCATCCCTGCCTCTTCGACCTGTCTGTTTCCTCTCCACCTATCTTCTCCTCTAACCACCTTCTATCCGCCTCCTCCTCTCTCCCTATTTATTTCAGAACCCGCTTCCCCTCCCCCATTTCTGAAGAAGGGTCTAGGCCCGAAACGTCAGCTTTCCTGCTCCTCTGATGCTGCCTGGCCTGCTGTGTTCATCCAGCTCTACACCTTGTTATCTAACATTGAGTCCAATTGCTTTTGTTCAGAATGTGTATTCAGAGCTCTGGATAATGACTGACAGACCCCTTTTGCCCTTTGTTAAATTTGTTTTGTTTTTAATTCATTAACGGGATGAGGGCATGGCCAGCTTAGCAGCATTTATTGCCGATCCCTAATTGCCCAGAGGGCAGTTCAGAGTCAGCCACATTGCTCTGGGTCTAGAGTCACATTTAGGCTGGACCAGGTAAGGATTGCAATTTCCTTCCCTAAAGGGATTTAGTGAGCCAGATGGGTTTTTCCAACAATCAATAATGGATTCATGGTCTTCATGAGACTCTTGATTCCAGGTATTTATTGAATTCAAATTCCACCATCTGCTATGGCGGGATTCGAACCCGAGTCCCCAGAATGTTATCTGGGTCTCTGGATTAACAATGATAATACCACTAATACCATCGCCTCCCCCAGACTAACTGAATCCCTAACTATTTTGTGCTGAAAATTTATTTCCGTCTGTTGCCACTGCAGTGTTGGAACCATACACAGCATCCGAATGCTTCAAGATCGCTTTTGTGCCTTCATCAACTACACGACCAAACGGGGAGCAGAGCAGGCCATTGTAAAGTTACAGGTATTGGAGAGTGCATACTCTTTCTGACAGGCACGCAGTCACAGTTATTGTTTCTGCTTTGCATTCCTGTACAGAATTTTTTGAGATTAGAACTTGTGTTGATGTAACACATGCCGAGGTTGTGTGCAGTAGAGAAACATGTTTGTTTTAAAAGAAGCAGTTTGTTCTCTGCTCTGAAGGGAATTGGAGCAGATGTTCTGGTAGTGTCCCTGCCACCAGTGGGAGCTACAGTCATGTCAAAATGCCCAGGACTGTTCAGACTGTCTGGCTGGTCACGTACCACACGAGCCAGTGACTTCACTCAAATTATAGTCCTGACTGCTGCACTGTATGGTGTGTACTCTACTCATAGTGAGTCTCTGGCTCCGGTTTCCTTCTGGACTGTGTGGATACGGAATACGTGAGACATATTAGCATGAACAGAGGATGGGCTAAGCTGGGACAAAGAGGGCATTTTCAGGAAGGCATCTTGTAACTCGTGGAATGCCACAGGGATCTGTGCTGGAGCCACATTTTGTTTCCATATATATTAGTGATTTGAATGAGGAAAGTCAGTGTATTGTAGCCAAATATCTGGATGATTTGGAAATAAGCGGGAAGGAAAGTGCTGAGAATGACAGTGTTTGCAGACGAATATAGAAGGGTTATGAGAAAACTTCAAGGTGGAATGTAGTGTGGGGCAAATGAGAGGTTATGCACTTTGACAGGAGGAGTAATGAACTTTTAAATGAGGAAAGATTACAAAAAGTGACCGAACAGAAGGATTTGAGTGTCCTTGTCCATGAATCACTAAAAGCTAACATCCAAGCTCAGCAGGTAATAGGGAAGGCACATGTCCCGATACTCTTTATTTCAAAGGGAATAAAGTATAAAAGTAAGCAGGTTTTGCTGAAACTATACAAGGCACTAGTCAGCCCACAGCTGGAATACTGTGAACAGTTTTGGGTCCCTTATCTAAGGGAAGATATCCTAGCATTGGAGGCAGTCCAGAGATGGTTCACTACGGGGATACCGGGTATGGAGGGACTGTCTTATGAGGAGAGATTGAGTAGGTTGAGCCTGTACTTGTTGGAGTTTAGAAGAATGAGAGGCGACTTTATTGAAACTTATAGTCTTGTGGGACTTGACAGGGTAGATTCCAAAAAAGCATTTTCCCCCTTGTGGAAGAGTGTAGGACCTGAGGGCATAATTTCAGAGTAAGGGTCGCATGTTTAAGACTGGAATTCTTTACTGCAGTGTGCTGTTGAGGCTAGGTTGTTAAGTATATTCAAGGCTGAGATGGACATTTTTAATCAGTAAGGGGATCAAGGGTGATGGGGAATGGGCAGGAAAGTGAAATTGTGGTTTATCAGATCAATCATGATTACTTTGAATGATGGAGCAGACTCGATGGACTGAATGGTCTACTGTTTCTGGCTTGCATCTTATGGAAAGCTCAAGGCTATAAGAGTCATTACCACATGGTTGTTAACTGCACATTTCCCGCTCCCTCAAGTGGTCCCAGTGAGATAGCGGGCAGCTCCATGCAGAGAGGAGTGGGCAGACAAGAGGAAAAGCTGGGATGAAGGGGGTTAGCAGGAGTCGAGAGGGTGGGGCAAAGGATTAGCAGAAAGCTGAGGTTAAGGAACAATTTAGCAGGAGATGAGGGAAGGGGTTGATGTGAGATCGGGGAAGAGGCTGGTCGAGGGATTAGTAAGGACAGGGTACCACAGGCTGGTGGGAGGTGAGGGTGGTAGAAGGAGATGACATGAGACAAGAGAGCAGGGTGAAATTGATGGGCACCAAGGGGATGGTGGAGGGGTTGGCGGAGGCTTAAATTTTGCTCCATCTGTTCGCCCAGCTAGTTGCTCAGCTGATTACTGTCCTTCCTTTCCACAGGGCACTGAACTCGAAGGAACCAAGCTGCTGATTCGTCATCCTGACAATATTTACAAAAACCTCGGAGCAGCCAAGATGGCAGCTCCAACGACCAAGCCTTCACTTGTGTAAGTAGCACTTGTTCACCGGGCCTCTGCTACTCCATCAGCTCTTGGTCAGAGGTACACGGGACCTGAAGCCTGCTGACAATACAGTAACAACCTCGCTGCTCCCACACGTCTCTTGCGATTTCCACTGTATAAAGACCTCTCCCATCCAATCCTACATCCTCTTTGTGCCGCCCTGTCCCCGTCCCCGCCCCCGCCCACTAACTGATCTCTCACTCCCGCCTCCAACAGGGAGAAGGTGAAAATCCCACCCGCCATTGAGTGCCATTTCTGGAGGAACGTCGGCTGTGTATATGGGGACAAGTGTCGCTTCCGGCACATTCCGAAGCATAAAGGCGTGGATAGCAAGGTCACGCAGAATTAAACATCGACTGGTGCACATTTGTGTTCTAACACTTCAAAGAAAGGAGCCAAATTGTGAAGAAGAGAGGGCATGATGCCTGATAGCCAGTGGCAGTACCCTAATGGATCAGTGAACAGAACAATGTGTGATGTGCTCTCGAGGATATCATTGTGGCAGCAACGTGCAGTGCAGCCCATTTTACAGTAAGGTTCATGAGAGAAACAAAAACACCAAACTGGAGAGCTAACTGTGGAACTTTTTTCACCTGGGTGTCAGGCGCTGGTGTTACGAGGAAGGGATCCTCGTGTGAACAAGAGGAGTTTCCTGTGTACCTTGCACATCCCCAAGAAGCACAGACCCAGGAGGTTAGGACTGCCATTGGAGCCTCTGCAGTGTGCGAACGTGAACCTGCCCACAATAGAGGCATTGCAAGTTTCTCCCTCCCCACCTCCAGTGTGAAGTGCTGTGGCTTCAGCATTCAGACCACCTTCCCCCTGGTTAGAGAGGGAGTCATTCGTAACCTGCTGCCCTCCAGCTGTGGAAGGGCTGACTGGAATTCGGTGCTAACCTCTCTACGTCAGGTGGAAACAAGATTCCGGGTTTGTTGTCTGAAGGCAGAGAGAGACCCTGACTTCTATACAGAACGCGGAATGGCTATGCAGTTTTAATATTCCCTCCTGCAGTGTGTGTGTCTGGCTCGCACCTTGCAGCTGTATCTCCCCTGCTCATGGTAAAAAGTCTAAAATCAGCAGCAGACTGCTGAGGGTGGAGTGCTCACACTCCTGAGAGCATCACCCTCGAGCGCGCACACACACACACTGTTGGGGCCATCTCTGATGGGAATTGAATGAGCTGTGTAATGTAAATGCCTTCTCAAACCTCCTGTCCACACTCTCAGTGCACTCAAGCTTTTAATCGGAAACTTGTTCTTAGGGCTGCTTGATGTGGCTTGCTCCTGGAGATGGATTCCACACTGTGGATTCCCATCTCACTCAGCGTTGCCTCAGTTCCTGCCATCATGTCGCCATGTCTGCAGCTCTTGCTGATTTGATTCCACAAACCATGTTTCGAAATGTGTTTAAGGGGAGATAGGGTGGTATTCCAACACTTCTGTCTGCCCCTTGTTGTGCCATATTGGAGGCAGTGTACTCTGATAAAATGATGCACCCTGTTATAAATGATCTGATTTTACCTTTTATAAATTGCACAATGCCTTTTTATATATATATATATATATTTAAAAAAAAATCAAGTTTCTATAACCAGATAAAAATTGCTTTGAGAAAAATGAGCAGTGCCAGAGACTGCAGATACATCCTTATAAAATCCCAGTCAGATTCTTGTAGACTTTGTCTCTTCCTTTCTCAGTCTTGGTTCTGGGCAAGCACCTCAGCACAGCACTGAGTCACACCACACACCAACACATTGCGTTATTGGTATCCTGGGTTGTATAAGTAAAGACAAGTTAGTTCGGGAGGTTTCAAAAGGCTTGATTGTTCAACAGGTTATAGCCCAGGTTATTGAGGACATTCTCCTGACTGACTGCTTAAATGTACGGGGAGGATGTTTCTTTACTCAGCTCGTTGACTTTACATTGCTTTGTCTGGTTGGTGAGGAGTTTTTGAAAGATGGTATTTTAAGGTTTCAGACTTTGTCTCATTACCAGTTGATTTCCAAGTGATCGTGTGTTTTTTCAGCCAGTCATACCCTCCTCTGTCGCATTTTCCCCATGCCATTAGCAGCTGCTTCTTGGTACACGGGATGAGGTGGGGCGGTGGGTATTGTGTTCACTGTTATTTATTCCTTTCTTTATTCATTCACGGGATGAGGGTGTTGCTGGCTAGGCAGCATTTACTGCCCCATCCCTAATTGCCCAGAGGGCAGTTCAGAGTCACCCACATCGCTGTGGGTCTGGAGTCACATGTAGACCAGACTGGGTAAGGATGACAGTTTCCTTCCCTAAAGGACATTAGTGAACCAGATGGGTTTTTCTGACAATTGACAATGGATTCATGGTCATCGTTGGATTGTTAATTCCAGATATGATCCCCAGAACATTATCTGGGTCTCTGGATTAACAGTCCAGCGATAATACCACTAGGCCATCGCCTCCCCCAGTTATAAATCGACCAGGACTGAGACAGCTGGGGGTTTCAGAGGGAAGTGTTAAATCACTCTGTCGAAGCGCATGTGCTGTAAACGTTAGAGATAAAACCCAATAGTTCTCACCTCCGTGGGATTCGTGGTGAGTTTGCCAATTGGAGAGGCCAGGGGTAAATGATGGCCTAGTGGTATTATCACTGGACTGTTAATTCAGAGACCCAGATAACATTCTGGGGACCCGGGCTTGAATCCGCCATGGCAGATGGTGGAATTTTGAATTTAATAAATATCTGGAATTAAGAATATAATGACGACCGTGAATCCATTGTCGATTGTCAGAAAAACCCATCTGGCTCACTAATGTCCTTTTAGGGAAGGAAACTGTCATCCTTACCTGGTCTGGTCTACGTGTGACTCCAGACCCGCAGCAATATGGCTGACTCTGAACTGCCGTCTGGGCAATTAAGGATGGGCAGTAAATGCTGGCCTAGCCAGCGACACCCTCATCCTGTGAATGAATAAAGAAGAAAAAAAAATTGGATGCAAACTCGGCTTTATGGTAGGAAACAGTGGTGGTGGAGGGTTGGTTTTCTAACTGGAGTCCTGTGACTAGCGGTGTTCCACAGGCATTTGGTGCTGGGTCCATTTTTATTTGACGTTTATATAAATGATTTGGATGAGAATATAGGAGACATTGTTAGTAAGTTTGCAGCTGACACCAAGACTGGTGGTGTGTTGGACAGTGAAGAAAGTTATCTCAGTACAAAGAGATCTTGATCAATTGGGTCACTGGGCTGAGGGGTGGCAGATGGAGTTTAATTTGGATAAAGGTGAGGTAGAATTAGAATAGCCTTTTACTGTCATATGCAATTGAATGAGTGCAGTGAAAAATTTGTAATGGTGCCAAGAGACGACATGTTAGGTGCAGGGTACCTAGGTACAGATACTGTGTTGTTACAGGAGTGAAATAGTAAACAAAAGACTAGTATGGGAATACAGGGTTTTAAAAAGTCCAGAATAATACAAAGTGTCTTTAAAGTACTCCAATTCTAGTCCTTTCCCCCGAGTACGTGCCCAGTAGGCTTCACAACACAAGGCCTCACCTGTATGTAGTGCCCTCTGTTCAGGACTTGCCTCCAGGACTCATCCTCCTGGCTGGCCCTCACAATCTCTCTCTGCTCCCGCTCCGGGCTCTGGCACCTAACTCACTTCTGGGTCTCGGCCCTCGCTTGTTCTGCTCCTGCTCCAGGCTCCAGTCGCAACTCACTTCCCACATTCCCCGTATTGCATTTTGGTAAAACAAACAAAGGTAGGACTAAGACAATTAATGGTACGGCCTTGGGTAGTGTTGTAGAACAGAGAGACCAAGGCATATAACGCGTTGAAATTTGTGTCACAGGTAGATAGGGTGGTTAAGGTGTTTGGCACTCTTGCCATCATTGCTCAGACTCCTGAATATAGAAGCTGGGACATCATGTTGAGGTTGTACAGAATGTTGGTGAGGCCTATTTGGGTGTACTCTGCAGTCCAGGTCGTCCTGTTATAGGAAGGTTGGGTTTAGGACAGATTTACAAAGATGTTGCCAGGTATGGAGGGCCGGAGTTATAAAAATAGACTGGAAAGGCTTGGATAACACAGTGCGCAGCTGGAGGAACACAGCAGGCCAGGCAGCATCAGAGGAGCAGGAAAGTTGACATTTCAGATCGGGACCCTTCTTCAGAAATGGGGAAGGGGAAAGGAGTGCTGAAATAAATAGAGAGAAGGGGTGGGCATGGGGAAGGTAGGTGAGATGGTGATAGGGAGTGGTAGAGATTGGTCAGTGAGGTGGGACAGAAGATGGGACAGGTTGTGTCAGGTCAAGGAGGCGGGGATGAGAGGGAGGGTTGGTCATGGGACGAGGCCGGGGGTGGGGAGATTTTGAAACTAGTAAAATCCACGTTTAGAGCATTGGGCTGTAGGCTCCTGAGGCAGAATGAGGTGCTGCTCCTCCAGTTTCCGGGTGGTGTCATTGTGACACTGGAGGAGGCCCAGGCTGGACATGTCACTGAGGGAATGGGAGGGAGAGTTAAAATGGTTAGCGACCGGAAGATGGTGGTGTTTGTCATCTACAGAGTGCAGATACTCTACAAAACAGTCTCCGAGTCTCCACTAGGTCTCACCGATGTAGAGGAGGCCACAACGGGAGCAGTGGATGCAGTACACCACATTGGATGTGCAGATGAACCCCTGTCTAATGTGGAAGGTTTGTTCGGGTGGATTTTTTTCACTGGAGTGTAGGAGGTTGAGATGTTACCTATGAAATCATGGGCATAAATAAGGTGAACGATGAGGGTCTTTTCCCTAGGATGGGGGATTTCAAAACTAGGGGGCATATTTTTACGGTGAGAGGAAAAAGGTTTGAAAAGGACATGGGGGGCAGCTTTGTTATACAGAGTGTTTCATGTGGAATGAAATGCCAGAGAAATTGCTGGATGCAGGTATAGTTACAACGTTTAAAAGATGTTTGGGTAAGTTGATGAATAGGAAAGATATGGAGGGATATGGGCCAAGCGCAGGTAGGTGGGACTAGTCTTGTTTGGGATTATGGTCAGTGTGGACTGGTTGGCCTGAAGGGTCTGTTTCCATGCTGTACGGCTCTAATGATTCTAAGGGCTCTGAGAGCTCGAGTAAAGTATTAAAATCCATAGTGAGTTTCTCCGTATTGTATTGCACTCCACAATGTCCATGTCTATGGTACCTCATGACAGCAAGCTGCAGTATGGTGCCAATGTTGGTTCAGTGGGGTGGACTGCACCCTCTGAGTTGAAATGTCATGGATTCATGCGTCATCTCCAGAGACTTGAAGCAGGTACTTGACCAACATTTCAATGCTGTGCATCATCAGGTAAGATGTTAAACTGTGATCTTGTCTACCCTCTCAGTTAAATTTATAAGATCCTTTGGCACTAATTTTTGTAAAAGTATAGAACTTTCCTGGCCAATGCTGTTGCTCATTTGACATCAATTTAGAAAGATAGCTTGGTGAGGATCACGTTGCAATTTGTCAACATAAGTTGGCTGTCATGTTTTGAACGCAAAAAATAAAAGTAGGCCATTCAGTCCCTGTTATCTGCTCTGCCATTCAGTAAGATAGTGACTGACCTGATATGGCCTCAGCTTCACTTTCACTTTCCTGCCTGCCCTCTTTTGATCCCCTTGTCCATCTGAGACTTAAAATATTGTGACCGAGCCTCATTGATGTCTGAGGAAGTGAATTGCAGTGACTAAGAGGAAGAAAAGTCTTGGTCTTAAATGGGAGACCCTTTATTGTTAAACTGTGTCCCCCAGTTCTAGTGTCCAGGAAGGGTAGACATCTTTCCAGTATTAACCGTGTCCAATTCCTCAGGATTTTATACGTTAGTCAGTTTTCACGCGCCCCCCCCGCCAACCTCCATTAGATACAGACCCAAGCATTCCTCATAAGGCAAAAACAAAGTTGCTGGAAAAGCTCAGCAGGTCTGGCAGCATCTGTGGAGGAGAAAGCAGAGTTCCGGTGACCCTTCCTCAGAACCCTTCCTTTGTCTGTCCAACTGCTCTTCTCTTTGGGCTCTATCCCATCGTTTACTCCCTACCCCACCCACCTCCCTATTTTCTGCATATAAACTGACGTTTTCCCAGCCACCATTAGTTCTGAGGAAGGGTCACCGGACCTGAAACGTTAACTCTGCTTTCTCCTTCACGGATGCTGCCAGACCTGCAGAGCAACTTTGTTTTTGTTGGACAGACAAAGGAGTTGCTAACAATCAGGCTGGGAGGGTGAATAGTTGTTAATGGGGACTCTTCGTGACTAAAAACAGGGAGTGTGTAATGGCAGGCTATGTGGTAACAAGGCCTGGTGTGTGGGGTAGGGGGCTGGGACATGGGAGAGTTTAGGCCGTAAAATTATTGAACTCCGTATTGGGCCCGGAGGGCTGCAGGGTCCCCAAGCGGAAAATGAGGTGTTGTTCCTCCAGCTTGTATTGAGCTTTGCTGGAGCACTGCAGCAAGCCAGAGACAGAGATGTTGGCCAGGGAGCAGGGTGGTGCGTGATAGTGGCAGGCAACAGGTAGTTCAGGGTCTTTTTAGTGGGTGGAACATAGATGTTCTGCCAAGCGGTCACCCAGTCTATGCTTCGTTTCCCCAATGTAGAGGAGACCACATTGTGAGCAGTGAATGCAGTAGACCAGATTGTGGGAAGTACAGGTGAAGTGTTGCTTCACCTGG